CATTTAAGCATTTTTAATATAATATCTAGATCAAATGTGATTTTAAAAAAAATTATCAAATATTAATTCATATTTGAAATATGTGTTGCACTCTAAATACATATTTCAAATGTATTTTCAGATGCACCTTTATTTCCTTCAATAGGTCATACCTATGAACAGCCACATGCTTTGTTTTCTGCCCTCCACAATATACTCAAAAATCCGATCAAGATCTTATAAATATGACAAACTAGATAGAAAGCCGATCGATAATACAAATGAATCATTAAAATGAAATATGTTAATAAATAGATATAAAGTATTTGATTTCAAGATTTTCTTTTACACCTTAATAAGTGGTATTAAAGTTCAAAAGATTTAATAATCAAATATTCAGTAAGCATCCAACAACGTACGTAGTCGCTACCTTCCACTGGACAGGGAACCACCAAAGTCTATCATCCTTAACAATAGTGTTATCAATAGAAGGTTATCGACGGTGGTTCATTGATCAAGCATGAGATATCTCGTATCGTCCGCAGGCAGGTGATAAAATGAACTGGATAGAAAAGTAGATTGACAATATAGAAAAATCGTTCATGAATCATAGATAAAGACTAAATAACATCTTTTCGTGATCGAAAGGTGCTAACAAATAGAAATAAATTATTTGATTTCACAAATATAGCTCTGCTACTAATTGTGAGCATAAAAATATCCTTACCCTATTGTTATGCAAAAATATTAAACATCAAAATCTGAAATCAAATAACAATAGATCAAATTTACGATGTATACCTTTCGAAGCCATTCAAAAAGCTTTTATTTGATTTATGAGTGTACCATCATCGGATCTGAAAGGTATAACAATGTCAATCTACAAGTAGAACTAGACTCGTTTTGTCCTCTTTTCCTACCTTCATAGGAGTGCTATGAGTGATAGATTATGAATAAAAGGGTGACGAGAGAATATTTATAATATTTCAATGACTGGTTCACATGACTAAAAAGAGACAAGAGAAGATCTGTAACCTCTGAATGACTAGTTCATGTGACTAAGGGGAGATGAGAGAAGATCTGTAGTCTCTCAATAATATCATGTATCGACGTGTTCACTTATCCGCGTATCCACACATCATGTGTCTAGTCCCCATTATTAGGATCAAGAGCGGCACTAGGGGGGGGGGGGGGGTAAATTAGTGCAGTGGAAAATTCTTTGATTTCATAAAATATTTCATACGTTCGATGGAAATCGATTCAAAAAGATAGCAACTTGAAACGTAAGAGAGCGTAAGCGTAGTGAAAGTAAGATAGGGAGGACAAGCAGTTTGCTATGAAATGATTTGCAATTTAAAGTAGATTGCTCAAAACGAAATGTAAACTAGAATTTAGAGTGGTTCGGTCAATGTAACCTACATCCACTTTCGAATTCCTCCTCTGTCAAGGTTATTGGCATCCACTAAAGGCCTTCCTTCAATAGGTAAAGACCAACCACCTTTTACAGCTCTTTATCCTTTTGATGGGTTTAGGAGATAACCCTTACAAGCCTTACTCCTATTTCTTGAATGGTTACAAAGCTAAGAGAGGGAGGAGAAAAACTCTAGCACTTTTACACCCTAAAGATTTAAGATTATAATCACACTTTCAATATCCTTTCATGTAGAAAAGGGTAGGGTATTTATAGCCCCCAATGACTTCAAAAATGGAGCCAAAAAGTGTCTCATCCCGATTTTCCGGGATACTGGCGGTACCACCGCTTGACTCCTGACATTGGGTGGTACCATCGCTCAGTCTAGGCGGTACTACCACCTGACAGAGCTCGGAGACTAAGCTCTGGCGATACCATCGCCTAACAGGGGCGGTACCATCGCTGTCAGCAATAATTGCTAGTAGTACCGCCGCCTAGTCTGGGCAGTACCACCGGCCAGACGACCTGGGAGACTGGGTCTTCCATGTAGTGCCACCGTTGGTCAGAGTCCAACAACCGGGTTGGGCTTTGTATTCGGCCCAAACCATCCTAGCTCCGAGCCCAATTGGCCCCTAACAGAGTTGATGGGATTACCTCCCAAATCAAACTCTAATTATCATTCTAACTACGATTAAGGCAAGCATGGTCCGATACGTCGATTTTTTTCACTCGGCGATCCTCTTGTGAACTTCTTGGCGAGTCTTCCGGCGAGCTTCCGATGAACTCCCGACCAACTCTCGGCTAGTCTTCTGGCGTGCTTTCGATGATCTCCCAACGAGCTTTCGATAAGTCTTCTAGCGTGCTTCCGGTGATCTCAAGATGAACTTTCGGCGAGCTCCCGGCATATCGTCCGAGTCTTTGACTTCGGCCCATCATCTGCTTTACGCCTTACTACTATCGTAGTTAATCCTGCACACTTATCTCAACACATGGATTAGATCAAATAATTTATCAATTGATTTCATCATCAAAATCTGAGATTCAACACCTATGATATCTTGTCTATTTATAAATAAGAGCAGAGAGTGTAGGATAAATAATTACTCCAATCAAGATTATCTTTTAAGAAATACTATCATAATTAAATTTTTTATAAATTAATAATCATGATCAGATTCTAATCATATTTATAATATTTTTTATTTAATTAAATATGATCATATGATCTAATAGTATGTATTTATTAGATAAGGATATGAAAGTGAGAGAATTAGGTAAGTGGATAATCAGGTCTGTACTAGGACGGAGGATTAGAAAGTGAGAGATGAGGTGTGCAACTATTTAGTATTTGACATACTATTCACGCATTCACAATAATGCAAAGTGGTTCCTTGAGAAAGGAACTTGCTTTGTGGGATTCGAAAGTTGTTTATGACGTAGACATATCACAAAGCTTAAAGGATTAGTGTCATGATGTGGAGAATTAAGAATCTAAATCTAGAAATAGAGGCAAAAGTAATTAACTGCTTCTCTAAACCTCAAGTTATTCCACGTGTTAGATATAAATCCTATTAGGATAAGATGTTAAATCATTGTTAGTTCTATCTCCACCAACCCAATTATGATAAATATTTAATATTTTTAATTCCATCACTGATGATCTGGTGTTCGCATTGGACCACCACTCTATACAAATAAATTTATCTTAAATTTAAATATTTTGCTAGATTAAGATTAGAATTTGAATTAGTGATTCAAGTACAAGTATAGTTATCATGATTAATTCTTATAAATATAGACTGGATTGAGAAAATAGTTCTCTCTTATTTATATGAGAGAGTGTACTAAGAGTTTTTGGCTTAGGTTTGGGTTAACTGAAGGAAGGAAGAGTGATCTCTTGTACTAATTTTTTTTGTATAGTAAAAAATTAAATTTTTCTATGGATGCAAACAGGGAGTTATCGAATAATGTTAAATATTGTGTCGACTTTCTAAGTATATTTTTTTATTATTAATCTTAGAGACTTTTATTATTATTATTATTATTATTAATCGTAGGTAAGGAGTTGTGGTGGACGGTGTACTATGGGTTGTCCCGTATGGAAATAAATAGTAAAGACCTCAAAGTGTTGACAAAAAGTTACATGTATAGGGGATGATAAGTATATATAACAATAAGTTTCATTTGCAATGTAAGAAATAAATGATCATATTTATGATTTTTAGGATATAGATAATTATAAGGAAAAAAAATCCAGTAATGGTAAGATAGTGAGATGAATGCCTCTTTTCGAAATTAAGTGGTATCATTGACTGGTGCAGCTATACAGGATTCATTAGCAGGTTTGTTGGAATTAGGTGTTTGGACCATGAACCAATTCAATTCATATAGATATGGGTAATTCTTTAAGCCATTCTATATGAGGAAAAAAGTGAAAAAATACTCAGGTTTTAATAGGGTTAAAAGTTTTTTAGGAGTTGTAATTAGGTTTTAACTGCTTGGGAGGAGTTTTAATTAAATTCTAACTACTTGGGATGAGTTTTAATTAAATTTAAATTTCTTGATGGATTAGGATTATAATTTAGATTAGAGACTAGGAATAATTGTTAGATAATTAAAATTTATTCCTATAAATATATATTTAGTCTCAAGATTTTGATGAGAGAGAGAAATAAGATAACTTATAGGGGTTTTTCTCTAATAAATCTATAGAGGGTTGAAAAAACAAGTGAGAGGGTGTGCAAGTGATTTTAGGCTTGAGTTTGGGTTAATCGAAGAAAAAATAATTTCTTGCATTAATAGAGTTATCGAACCATAGTATTACGTTAATTTTTGATATATTTTTTATTATTAATCTTATCATTTTTCTTTTTGGCTAAAGTTTTCTCGACCTCCCTCGAGAAAACTGTACAGAAGGGCAATCTGTACCTTCCATCACAAGTCAAATTAAAGGGGATGCGAAGTAGTGATGAGAGCGTGTTCCCGTTTCTTTCCTAGCTATTAAGATGCCAACGAAGACTGATAACGACGAAGCAGAGCACGCTGAAACACGAGGAGATGATGTGTTTCTCTGAAGCTGTCTTGGTGGCACCTCCATGCATTCATTTACTATCGTCCAGCCATGCCACCATCTCCTTTAACTTAGTGCGGACAGTGACATACAAACAACCTTCTTGGTGGTACCTTCGTTCATTCATTTACTATTTTCCATCTCCTTTGACTTTGTTAATATTGTCACAGAAAATGGTGTTATTGCTTTCTATGTATTCTCCGAAGCATGTTACAGTTTCTGCACAACCACAGTGGTCCTTCTTATAGGCTATTTATACTCATGGTGCTCGGAACTTGGTTTTCAAAGGGAGCGAGAGAGAGAGAGAGAGAGAGAGAGAGAGATGGGCAAGAGGATAGAAGGAATCCTTCACATGGTCGGAGGAGCTGGGGACCCTTTTGTTGGTCATAAAAATTTAGTGGACGATCCCAAAGCGGAGAATCAAATATTTACATCATCACAAGTAGTAGTAGAACGGGGAAGAAAGAGGAAAATAAACAGCATTGCACCCTTTTGTTGGTCATAAAAATTTAGTGGACTTGGATCGATCTGGTCAGAAGCATGGCCATGTCATGCTCCAACAGAAACAAGAAAGAGAACATAGTTCAAGTGTAAAGAAATAAATAGTGAGCAAACACGATCCCAAAGAAATAAATTGGAGGGAATGCACTTTAACCTTTCATACACTCTTGATGGTTTGGCGACATTATTGTCCAGGGAATCATAGAGGAGGACAAACTGGTGACCTTCAATATGCCGTATTATGCACCTTCCATGGAAGAAGTAAAGGCAGTGATCCATTGGGAAGACCTGTTTGATTTAGAACAAGCACAGATCTTTGAGACTAATTGGGACCCGTTTGATGACTCGGATGATGATTCCGCTGCATTCGACAGTATAGCAAGCGGAAAGAACGTCGCAGGATATGTGAGAGCAGCGTTTCAACCCTTGATTGAAGAGCATTTCGGGGATGCCATACTGGATGAGTTATTCTCTATATATACAGCCAATGTCTCCAGGCATCTCCGTCAACAGAAAAGTAAGCACTACCTATTTGTCATTTCCTTGAAGAAGAAGGAGGAGAAAAAGGAGGAGGCTGACGGCAATGCTGCTGCTGCTGCTTGGTGAATCTGCAATGCCATGGGAGCAACGACTATCTTTAACAGTTCATTGGGTACAGATCTTTCAGTTATTAAGAAATTAACTAAAGATATCTCTTCAACAAAAAAACATGTATCTATCGCTTTCTTTTCTATCGCAACTTAATTTGTTATATCATTGTATATATATACATGTATGTATATATATATATATACATGTACATACATACATACATACATACATATAATTCACTATTTACTTATGAACTTAAACCTAATTTTTAACAACTCCAATCACATTAAATGATATACAAATATGATCTAAGCTTTAATCTGGGAGGTGCTACCTTCATGGAAGGTCCGGGATCACTGAAATGTACATCTACTCTCTTGTTGCTAGCTGTAGTACACGATCAACACCAAAAAGTGCACAAAAAAAGGTCCGCTCATCTTCGACTTGCATCCCATTAGGGTTTCCTGTAACCTATGCTGATGACACGACAACGGAGCCTGGATTGAATTTTAGCGAGTCACTGACAAGGATGGCTGGCTATGGATCATAAACGTCTCGAAAGCAAACTTAAAGAGGTGATTGACCGCCACAATACGATCATAAACGTCTTGTTTTGCTGATCGTAGGCTCCGTTGCAACAATGCTACCGATCAGTGGAGGATGTTGCTCCACCGCAGCATTCTTAAAAGTCCAGGGTTGGAATCGGTGTGTGATTCTGACCTATTAAGCAAGGTCTTCAGAGACGGGTTAACCACGGTATTCGTGCAATAATGCTATCGATCGGTGGAGGATGTTGCTCCACTGCAGCATTCTAGAAGTCTGGGTTGAAATTGGTATGTCTTTCTGACCTCTGACCTAGCAAGCAAGCTCTTCAGATACGGGCTAACCACGGTACTCCTCCTCTCTAATGTCCTTTTATTCTTTATCTACATTGGTGATGCTGCTGTGGTTATATTTCCCTCGAAGAATATCTGTACAACCACATCATCAATGACATATGTCTTTGACTAGGAGAGAGATGATGAACAGAAAAGTCCTATAAAAGAATCAGGAATAATCAAATTACAAGTAATAAGAACTAATTGTGGTTCTGATTATGGGATAATGAGTCAGTTAAATGCCTTCTTGTAGACCATATATAGTCGTCTTGGCGTGCAAAAAGCTCTGCGTTCCATGCACCATCGTGTTCTTAGGAAAGGCATGAGCATGAGGGTGGAAGAAGTCCTTCACATGGTTGGAGGGGCTGGGGAAATCAGCTATGCCTCCAATTCTAAGTTTCAGGTGGTTCCTCTTGAACTGTTTGCATGAACTTAAAAGCTTATACTTATGTAGCATTCACCATATCCGATCATGGCTTGGTGACTGCGTCACAGGAGAAAGCACTTCTCATGACGAAGCCAGTGTTGGACGATGCAATAGGTGGGGTTTCCTGTGAAAATGGTGGTTGCCGACTTAGGTTGCTCCTCGGGCTCCAAATACGCAGCGGAATTAAATGGAAGCAAATCAAATAGAACAACAAAATATACGTGAAAAACCCCTCCAATGTGAAGGGTAAAGATCACGGGGCAAACTAGAGATAATCCACTATGAGAATAATGAATATATAAATCTCAATCTCTTGCCCAAAACCCTAGCAACAACCACAAGAGAATTACTAGGATACAAGGATCACGTCACTGTCCACAATATCTTAAACCTCCCCAAGTAATCACAGCAAGAGTCTACTGTAGATTTAATCTAACCTGAGATGAGAACACTGCTAGATGATTGAGAACAGTCTCTCTGCATTGTCCTTGTCTTCTTCCCTTTCTTTCTCTTCCTTTTCTACCTTGTTCTCCTTCTTTGGAATCCCATGACTATAGCCTTCTCCCACGTTGCTGCCCTATTTATGTCTTTTTTTGCATCTAAAGCGTAGCCACCACACCCCCCTAATGTTAATTAGGGTTAGGTTAAGAGGGGGTGAGCTGTGGGCTGCCCAAGCCCACTATGGACTGAATTTGTGAGCTGCCGCCCAACAACCTCCCCCTTCAGCCCATAAGGGAGGCTATCCCATGACTCCTCAATGTGAAGCCAGCCGACCAGCTATCGGCATATCTCCTATCTTTCTTTTGGTAAGGTCTTCATTCCATTTGGCAGTAGTACCAAATCATAAATGTGGTTCTTCTGAAGAGCATCAATCTCTTCCTGCATAGCAACTAACCACTTCTCTTTCTGTTCACTTTCAACTATTTCCTGGTAACTCTCTAGTTCATCTGTAGAGTATCTTCTGGAAGGTTGACAGTGTCTAGAAGATCTTCTCAACTGAGGTTCTGTTGGAACTTGCTCTCCTACTTCTTCTTGCTCAACATGTCCTGCAGGTAGATCAACATCAGGCTCTACACCATCTTCCTGCACGTCTCCCCCATCACCCTGATATACTGGAGGAGTAACTGGGTCACAATATGCTAATCCTTCTGCAGAAGTCTTGGCTGATGCCTTCTTTTTTAAATCCTCAAAGGTTTTATCCTCGAAGAAGAACACATCTCTGCTTCTAAACACCTTCTGCTTTTCAGGATCCCAAAGCTTGTAACCAAAATGATCATGTGAGTAGCCAAGAAAAATACATTCTTTAGTCTTACCATCCAGCTTGGACTTCTCATTATTTGGAACATGTGCAAATGCACGACAACCAAACACTCTCAAATGCTTGTAGGAAACATCTTTCACTGACCATACATGCTCTGCAACATCACCATCTAGGGCTGTTCATGGTGATAAGTTGATCACATCAACTGCAATCCTCAAAGTCTCATCCCAAAACCTTTTGGGTAGCTTGGCCTATGAAAGCATACATCTGATCTTTTCCATGATGGTGTGGTTCATCTTCTTTGTAATTTCATTATGCTGAGGTGTATCAGAAACTGTCATCTCATGTTGGATCCCATGTGACCTGCAATAGTTATTAAACAATCCTGTATACTCACCACCATTATCTGATCTTATGCATTTAAATTTCCTTTCTGTCTCCCTTTCAACCCTGGCATGAAACTCTTTGAAGACATTAATCACTTATCTTTAGTCTTCAAAGCATAGGCCCAAACTTTCCTGGAAAAATCATCTATAAAAGTGACAAAATAAAGTGCACCACTTATACCAAAAACATTAACAAATCCACTAGGAGTTTTTGTCCTCAAAGGACCACATATATTTGTATAAACACGGTCTAAGGCATGCATTTTTCTAGATAAACCAGCAATAGCAAATGAAACTCTATGTTGTTTACTAGCCAAATAATCAATACAAGGGTTCAGATATATACCTCTGAGATCTAGCAATACATCTCTCTTGGAAAGAGCTTGCAGCCCCTTCTCGCTCATGTGTCTCAATCGCCTATGCCACAACTCCATACTGAAGTCTTTTATTGTAGCATTTAACTAATTACCATAAGCTTTAGCCTGCAACCTATACAAAGTATGACATTTCTTTCCACTAACTATAACAAGAGAACTCTTACTGAGCTTCCATTGCCTTCTGTGAAATCTGCTATCATAGTCTTCATCATCTAGCCTTCCAACTGAAATTAAATTCAGCCTCAAGTCAACCACATGCCTCACATCCTTAAGCACCAACTTGCAGCTAAGGTTGGTCTTTAAATGGATATCAACCATGCCAATGATGTCTGTTGTGCCATAGTTGCCCATCTTGACAACACCAAAATTTTCAAACCTGTATGTAGCAAAAAACTTCCTCCGTGGTGTAGCATGATAAAAAGCACCTGTGTCAATCACTCACTCAAGATCCTGATACACACAAGAAAAAATATCATTAGAAGGAGACAAAATCAAATAATCACCACCCTGCACTATAGCTGTAGTATTATCCTTTGACTCTGTAGACTCCACTTTCTTTTTCCTTTTCTTGTTTTTCTTAGTTTTGCTTTATATTTGGTTCTTGTAATTGTC